CGAAGAAGAGCTGCCCTTCGGTTAAAGAATTCGTTAACCCATTGTGTCGCTTTCAGGTTTTGGTGCAAGCCTCTTCATCCCAGGTTCGTGCAACGTTACTAGAACCACTCAGTTGGGAAACTGCCATAGAGACTGCTCTGAAAAGGTGGCACCGATCCGTACTCGAGAACCGAGCTACTGGCGATCACAACGCCGCCATTTCTCCCGCAGCGGCCACTTGAGGAACTGCGTGTGACTTCTATGTTAGCTTTAATACGCCATTTTGGCGCCGAAACAAATACTGTGGAAGGGGCTCCAGGTGTGCCATCCCCGCCTCCTAAGCGGACGGGCCGCTGATTACCACCGTGGTTAAGATGCGTCGGGACGCGCTACCTGAAATCACCGCTGAGGCATGGTTGTATAAAAACAATATTAATTGTACTGCAAAACCTTGCAAACTAAAGATTTTAGAAAACAACACGCGCCCTTCATTTTGTACTAAACTCCAATAAACGTTACTACAAAAAATGTTTTTTTCCGTTGTTTTTTTACGCAAAAACATGCTTTCTAAAAGCTCAAGGTGACCAGAGTAAAGACAAATGATAAAGAGTGGCGCTGTTGTCGTATTGAGCTCGGTTTCGGTGGACGCCAGCGGCCTAAGTTTCAACGGTGAGTTTCCCAACTGAGGGTTCTAGTAACGCTGGCGTTGTGTTACCCTTAAGGGCTGTTTATACTCCAACATCGACGAACGCCACGCGCGTCCGCGCAGACCGACGTTCGTCGGTCACTACGTTGCGCCGAGAAGCGCCCGAACGATGGTGTTTACTGTCCAGCGTAGACCAAAGCTGGTCGAGCGCGCCCCGACGGACTGCCCCACTTTGCGCGTGCGCGTCTCCGTGTAAACCACATCGTCTCTACGGGTTAATTATGGGCGGTAGCTTGCGCCACCTAGCCTAGAGGCAATCGGTTAGTGTGGTTCGTCCTCGTGTTGTCATGTCACGCTTCAAAACAACCCTTCGGGGTAGCGGTTAGCAGTTCTAAAACAAGCAAATGATGATAATAACGAGTGCAACCCTGTATATATTTTCTCCTAAATATCACACAAATGTCAACAAACAAAACAAAACCAAAAAAAAAGGGGAAAAAAAAGCCCGTTATGGCGTCTGTTGAAACTAGTTGCTCCGCAGGTTCACCGGAATCGTGCCAAACGACTCCGGCGATTTCGCCGGAATGCTTCAATAAAATCGACATTTCACAGAGACCTCTTTCTCACAGATAGGCGCTGTGTTATTATCATAGTAGACTTTCACGCTGAGTTAATAAACGGACACCAAAGAGAGCGGACGACGGCTAAATTACGCAATGTACGCGTTCGAAATTGTAACGCACTTTACAAAGCCTATACAAACAATGCAGGATTCAGTACAATTGTCATCGCGTACCGCTGCTATCGCTTACAAGATGAGACCGTTTACAAGCTCAGACAGCCCAATTGAAAATTTCTGGCCGGTTAAGTAGTTCAGAAGCAGACTTGTACGTAACGCGTTACAAGTAATTGATTACTTGTAATCAATTACAGTTAAGTGTAATTTTGTAACGCTTCAATTACATTTGTCAAGCTGTAACGCTCGGAGTAATTCAATTACTTTTTTTCTGTAATCAATTACAAAATCAATTACACAATTACCAATTACATTTTTCATCCCACAGTTCTTTTTTCTCACAAAAATCAGCATAGTCACTCAGCCATGGAGCAAAAATGATTGACATTTTTTTAACATCTAAAAAAAATAAAACTAGGATTAGTCGGCAACTCCTTTTTTCTTTTACGCCACGCTCTTCTACAAGCGCGCCACCAGCCTTGGCTGGGGAGTTCCGGATCTCGTTGCAGATTGCTGATAAAGTCGACGGGAAGCGGGAACTCGCTATTGACTTTTTAGTGGGCTTTGTTCCTTAGGTCGACGCGTCAGCTACACGACAAGCTCCGGGTCTGAAAACAAAAAAGGGAACAATAACCAAACAAAATTGTGTACGCAATATTTTACTGTGTATTTGTGTATTTCTGTCATCGCAATAAGAAGTAACGTGAAAGTAACTTGAAAAGTAATCAATTACTTTGCAGTAATTGTTCAATTACTTCTGGGAGGCAGTAATCAGTAACGGTAATCGGTTACTTTTTTGACTGTAGTAATTGTAATTGTAATCAGTTACTTTTTTTCAGTAACGTGTACAAGTCTGTTCAGAAGTAGTTCGGAGGATTCACTCTGTCCGCTCTTCCCGTACATTCGACGACGCCTTGAGTGCGTCGTCGAATGTCGGTGAGTGCGACTAGCACATGATTATAAATAGCACACAGATTAGGTCATCCTTAATTCTAATTAACCCCACCTTTGGCGCGTCATTAAGCTTCCAGCTTTTGCCGGCACCCCAACACCACGGCCCACTACCACCACCGGCTCGTTAGGTCGATAGGCCTATCGAGAATCGAGGGTAGCGCATCCTCGTAGCGGTCCACGTCCACGCACAGACCCGCCCAGTCAAGCGCACGAACGTTAAATACGCACACCAACACGGGAACACGACAACAGCACACGACACACGGCAAGAACGACAGGTTCAGATCCCAGAAATGTGCATCATGCACCACACTCCGACTGGACCGGACGACCCCGCCAACCGGATTCCTGAATGAGGCATTCACGCGAGGGCTTCTGGGATAGCCTCCGTCGCCGACGTCATCGTCCAACGTTGAACGCAGAGCATGTCCAAGTTTGTCGTAAGCTACGATGTCTCGCGTCGAGCTGCTTGCGCTGCGCCGCGTTCAACTTGACGTGTGAGAATAAACACCCCGTTTGGCAGACAACGTCAGCGAGCGTGAACGAGCGCGTGCGCTCGTTGACGTTACGACGGAGTATAAACAGACCTTTGCGGCCCGTTCTTATTTTCTCGTAGTCCTTTCAAAGTTTAATTCACGCCTTCGTAACTGAGATTTCCTAAGAAGTCTAGCAAATTTCATAAACGAAAACATTCATCTTAGCCATTGAACATCGATCCGCGTGGCATGTGGCACTTATACTGTCTTGGTTCTCTGCTGTTTTCCAGGTCCTATGTAGCTCAGTACTTACTGCGGTTCGCGGTTTCCCCGGGCGAGACTGTCCACTGCACGGTTTGGCTGTCCCTAGTTGGTCGAGATGACGGCTGAGGCCGCTTCGGTCAAGTGTTTAACAACTTCCTGCAACAGTCTTCTTGGAGCGGCTTCTCCGAATAAGCGAGCACTTCAAAGTTCTGAGAGGGCTTCTAATAAACGTCTGGTGAATTACCGCTGGTCTGTCCTGATGAAATCAAATCCAGGAGGCAAAAATCGGCAAAGGACACGAATCGTGTAGTTAGATGTCTGTAAGTATCCCTTTGCTCGTGAGCTTGACTCTTTTTCAGCCTGACCTTCCGAATGACTGAAACAACAGCGTTGGAGCGATCAACGTAACGTCTCTAGAGGATGCTCTTTGGAGGTTTTTCTGAAGTCCTTGCTATCTCAGAGCTACCGTAGATTACATCGCTAGTCAAGTAAGGCCATAACAGATAGTATATTATTGATTTAGGCTGGCGTCAGAAATTTGGATATAAATGGAATACTAGAATGTTAGAAAATCATTTGCCACACTGGCAGCATCCTTGGGGTGTGGACAGCATAGCTGCCCAGGGGTCCTAATCTGCCGCACTCATTGAAATCAACCCCGGTTTTGGTAGAAGGAGTAAGGACCTGGAAATTGACGCCTCAATTTTAGAAAAAGACGCAATAAAGATCAACACTTGCGTAACATACTTTATTCGGATGATTAATTAATCACGACGATTAAAGCTGATGTAATATTGCCCTTTCGTAGGGCGTCTTCGGGTGGCGCTAGTGTTCATGAAAGCCCCAGTGTGTTCTAGAAGTTGATTTCTCCTAAAATCCACCGTGGAAAATTTTGTTTTTCGCCGAACGTTGCATTTAGGGTTAAGCTCCAGTCTGCTCTTGAAGCTGGCCTCTCCTAAACACAACCGTGGAAACACATTTTTTTTTTTAACTCCTTGAAGGACACGTGTAAAAAGAAAATATTTTTTTTTTCGAACAGCCTGGTTGGAAAAAAAAAGAAGTCATAAAACGAAACAAGGAAAAAGAAACTTTTTTAGAGGTACATTTACGGCGCGATACGAGTTTGTAGTTGGCGCCCGCGGGTGCCGCGGAAAAGTAGCCGCTATTTGTCAAGTGGTGCCTTTGCTCTTTCGGAAGCTTCCTATGGTCTCTAAAAGTTACTTATTCATATTCGTTTGAAGTGCAAAAAAAAAAAAAAAAAAGATTAATAAGTAACTTTTAGAGCCCAAAGGAAGCTCCAGAAAAAGCGTAAGCAGTCGTGATAGACCTGTGCGTCCAATCATTCACAAATCACGGCCGTATGCAGAAAAGGGCTTCTGGCCAGTGTCATTTTCAACGTTTGTATGCATGGCGCGAGCTTTGTTTGCTTTCCAAAGCGACGAACCCGCGCGCGCCGTGCAGGGAAGATGACAAGCACGGCTGTATACTATTCTCATCCCAGAATTGTGAAAACAAAGGGCTTCTGGTCACAACAATACCCAGTATTCGTAGGTGCTCTGCTCGCTTTCAGAATCAACGAACAGGCGTGTGGTGGGCTGTGATTTTGTAAACATTAGAACGGTGTACAAGCATCTGTCAGTGTCTACTCTCAAGCGATAATTTAGAGTAAAAAAATTAAAAAGAAACGAAAAGGAAACGAGGTACACACCTTCGGTGTCTTATCAAAACTCAATCAATGCTTTCTTTTCAGCCTTTTTGAAATTCTTCTTTTTTTTCCCAAATTAATTTTTTTTTCTTCCCAAGATGAGCGAGCGTCGTGGTTACAAATCCACAACCCATACGCGTGCAATCTCGTGCATTCCTGAAACCAAGGTTTGTGTACAGCGAATTTCACTCATCGAGTGATGAGCGGGTGAATAGCCCTCAAGCGTAGACTACACATGACTGCATGGAACATTCCTGTTTTGGTTTTATTCAAGTCCATTGTTCAATATGTATAATATTTACACACACAAACATTTACATCTCGTCACATTTTCACACGTCTTTTTGAGCTGCTCGCCAGGCGGTCTCTTAAGAAGGTGCGATAAAAAGCCGGAAAGGAGGAAGAAAGAGGAGAGACTCCCTCCCTTTGCACCCATGGCCCGGTTCGGCTTAGTACAGTCTCCATCTTTATGTATGTGTGTGTCTTATATTTTTCACCTGCAAGAAATCTACACGCTGGCTAAGGCACATCATCATCTTGTTTGTTTTCTTGCAGGAAAGGAACGAAGGGAGACACAACAACCTCAAGTAACCACCGCCGTTTTCTTTGTTTTTTTTTTTGCTTGCCAATGTACGCGGTAGAAACACTTCGGCCTGTAACTCACGGGGGAATACTTGGGGACTTGGTGCAGCGACATTTGAGACCCCATTCCCGGCTTCATCTTTTGATCTCGGCGACTTTTGAAAGCAAATGGCACAAACTCAGCGTAGACGTCTCAAGGTGTTTGGCAATAGACAAAACGTTTTAGGTTTCGTCGAATGGGAATGGTGCGACTCACTTGAATTTCGGCCAGAACGATCCGATGGTGCCGATCAAGCAGCACCAAAGTGCGTCGTCAAGGCCCTCGTTGTCTTTGTGCTATCACCGGACGAACCAGTCAGGCACGTTGCGAGATTGATTTGGTCGGTGAGAGCGGACGTCCAAAAAGCCCCGTGACAATGCACTGTTGGTGCTGCTTATTGATTGGCTCCATCGGGTCACAGCGTCGGCTGAGGTCGCACTTAAAGCGAAGCGGAGTGCAATAAGACGTCTAAATTTGCGGTCGGCTGTTCTGCAATAGTGCCATTTGCTTCCGCTTCCGCCCGTGTGTTTCGCAGGTTGTTGACGATGAGGTTGTGCCGTATAGATGGGAGAGTCACTTCGCGGGCGTGGAGAAACAAATCTGCCGCATCCGCTAGGTCTGGAAAACCAGGCAAACACAAGTCGGGACGCGACAACTTTCAGCTATTCTACCACGCGGTGCGGGTGCGATGACAGGGTGTGGTGATGCAAAAGTTTGAGATCGGTGGCCGAATGAAATGGCCTACGACCATGTAAGACATGGCCACCAACGTTGACGTCGCGCGCTGGCCTTGTCTTCGCGGTAAAGTTTCTCCGACCCGTGATTTTTTTCCCGGTTGTAAGTGTGATGTCTAGAAAACTAACTCAGCGCTCTAGCTGGCGTCACCCTTTTTTTGGCTATTAACGGCTTCATTCGCCAATAAGGACGTCACAGCTAACGCCACGTGAAGTAATTCCTGAACTTAACGAGACTGGTTGCATACAGAAGTTAATGTGAACCAGTCATCACGCTTCGAGTGAACTAAAAAACCTCGAACTATGCTTACAATTATGCAAAATTGTGATGCCTAACACTTCTCTGAAGACCTCAGCCTCAGGGCTGATCCGGACGCAGAAATTAAGTATAGCTGCTCGATATCATATGTAATTCAATTTGCTGGTGTTTTAACGGGGGTGTAATTGATAACAATGTGCTACTTGACAATGCACTCTGACTGTTTGATTCGCAACGACAGTGACCGCAATCACCGCTCAGGTACACATTTGTTCCGCCTATCGGCCGATGGTTTGAAGACAATAAGTCACGATTTTGCTCAGAAGAGACTAGTGTCCTTCATTTGAAGTAAAGTAGCCGCTACTTTTAACCTCAAAAGTCTTATGGCAAATGCTTGCTTGCACTATTCAATGATAAGTCAGAAATATAAAAGTAAGCAGGCTCCTGACTATCTTCTGACTTCCCTGGTGAAAATAATGACTTTGGGTAAATCAGTATAGTACGACACACGTAGATGTCAGTTAATGTTAATGCGTTAAACATATCTTCTGTTAAAAAGCTACCATGACACGTGTGTCAACACCATCAGGTAAGTGCCTGTAGAAAGTATTTGACAAACCCACATATTTGTCTTTATCTGGGTCAAGTATTAAACACAAAGCGGCAAACAACATCTGAAAAGTTAGATTTCGTGGGTGCTAGCTCGCAAAAGCCAAAGATTAACTAAAAAACGTAGCTGCTTTGTTATCCTTATCTGGAACGGGTTCGCAAATATTATCCTGTTTTTTTTAAAAGAGTTTGCAAATGTTGTTTTCAGGTGTTGTCACCTGAAAAAGGTGGCAAATGAATTTGTGATGTGAAAGGGGTTCGTGAAAAGCCGTGTTAGGGTTGTAATGAGCGGCTATTGTACATAACAGGGAGCTCATGAATCCAAAGTTGCAATTAGCCTAGTGGCACATGTACTATAGTCTTCCAATATCCTTATTTGCAGAGCTGATCTTACACATACATTTTGTTTCCGCACCTGAAAGAAATAAGCTTATGATTTCTAAAAATGCTAAATGTGAAGTGAGAAACGTTAAAAGAAATTCAATTGAAATGTTTCTCTAGTGGTATCACGAAGTGTTCTCATACTTCCCTTAAACATGTAATCCCTGTTAATGGCATTAGCCAAAGACAACAACAATGTTACCAGCGTCCGCGTTTTCGCTCTTGTCGCGTTTCAAGGCGCCACTTTGAACGGTAAAAATGAAAGCGGTGAGTTCCACGCCTGCGATGCAAATTAAGCTGATTTGTCTTAGAACTGCGCAGACGCAAGACATGTCGTAGCACTGCCCAGGTACAAGCGCCAGGCTGCTCGGTGTGAAACTGCTAACTCTCTTGGGCCTCTGAAACACTTTGAACAATGTCTCTAAAACCCACCAGTTTTGCCGCATTCTAAAGTAAGACTAGGTGTTCCGTGCAATTTTTGCAACGCGCTTCCTAGAGCCATGCGAAGTGGGTTCGTTTCTGTCGTGACCAGTCGTGCATCAACGATCCCCCACTTCCTTCTTGCTTGGCAATGGTCGGAACCTAAGCTATTTGAAAGCTACAAAATGCGACATGACACAATCTGTATATCTGCAAAACACAAATTGTAATAAAAACAGAATGAGGGAGGGGAAACATACAACGGAAATCGCAAGAGATACCTATTGGAACTTTTTCACGCCCCCGAACCAACCACACGCAAGAAAAGACCCTTCATAAACAGAGTGGTTGATCAGGGAGAACCATGTTGACACAAGACAGACGCTTGGAAGCGATTAGAGTCAAGTTTAAAAACAACAACAATGCGATGGTGTCTCTTTGCAGATTCTCTCCTGGACTCTGTCGCAAAGCTAACACCATGATGCTCGAATTTGTTCCAACGCACAAGGATCCTTCTAGACACGTAGTTATAGGCCCAGCTTTTCCGCTCGAAGCGCAGCACGATGGCACTGGGTTTTGTCGCACTCACTCTCGGTGTAGCTCTGTGGTATTGGTCTTTGACGACCTCACTCTAGGCCAAGTTGCGGCACTGGTATCAAGACCTAACCATACAGCACGGATGAAGACGTGTCGTCGCGAATCCCCACTCGCCAAGCACGTCAGGCCCACGTTGAGTACATGAGACACAGGTTACCGGAAGTCACACCTGCGACTAGACCTCGGTTCCGTCCGTGGGTGCCTCGGGGATGCTGGGCGGGTATCCCTGAGGCGTACCGGCGGTACGGTAGTACGCCGACGGGTGGTCGTAAGGGTTCCACCGTTGCGACGGCGGTGACGGGGACGGCTTCTGTCCCGTGGCTGCCCCGATCTGATCGATCAAGTCCGGTCCCCTAGCCTCCAAGTCCCTTACTCGTAGCGTCTCGAGGCCGCCGTAGAGCGGCCCGTCCATCGCAGGGCCATCGGGTCTCTCGACGATGGGACGTCGGTCCCCCTTGACGCGCCGCAGTGTGTCTGTGAGTTCACCGTGGAGCCTGAGGTGAAGATCATCGGCCGGTACAATGGGCATGGGTACCGGAATCGGGCTTCGGGCGAGAGACCTTCGGTCGATGGTGCCTGTCCGCGAAGGCACGGACGAGAGGACGGACTCGTCCGTCGAGTAGTCCTGGTCTTTGACCACCCAGACGCCTGACGAGGACTCGACGCAGAGGCCGATAGGGTCTAATGGCTCAAGCTCGGATGGGAGACCCTGGTAGCTGTTGGTCATGAGCAGCCGTGGCGGCTTCTGTATCGGGTTCACCAGAAGCTTCACTTCTGCAGCGTCGCTCGAAGAGTTCTGCTGCTGCTGTTTGTTGCTGTGCAGCGACTTGTGGTTTGACGATGCCTCGCTACGTTTGGCCTTACGCACACCTTGCGGACCCCTACGGCGGCCCCTGCGGCGGCAGAGCCATAGGGCAATGCCGAATACCATCAAGACAGCCAGCGCACCCACCAGGATCCCGATGACCATTCCCAGCACGGGGTTCTCGTTGTACGGGCGCTGCTGGAGCTCTGTGGATTCGCGAACGCGCTCCGTCATCTCGACCTCAGCCGTGCCGCCGGCCGAAGCACGCACCTCCGTGGGGCGCCGGTTGACCGCGAGTGTGAAGTTGCGTACCAGGCGACCAGCTGCATTCTGAGCGACGCACGCGTACGTGCCAGCGCTGGGTTCTTGCACGAAGCTAAGCGTGAGCCAAGACAGCCGCTCGTGGTCGCCGGCATCTTGCTGCGTGATGAGAAACGTCGGCTGCCCCGGGGCAGAGTCTTCTGTCCGGTTTGCGACAGGCTTCTCCTTCCAGAGCCAACTGAGCTCTGCTAGGGGGTCGGCGCGCACGCGGCACTCGAGCGTGACGTTATTAAGCTCTTGGACAACTATAGAGTCCGGCGTACCGGTGCTGGTGTTGAGGAATGTTGGAGGACAAGCCATATCCGCTGGGGAAAGACTCTTCCAGGGCTTGCCGTTGAGCCTCGTCGGCTTGTGGCACGTGGGAGAGTAGAGGGACACGTTGTTCCTGTCCAACCAGGACCGAAAGGCTCTGAGCTCGCAGTCACACCGCCACTCATTTCCGTCCAAGGCGACGCCGTGGAGGGCCTGAAAGGGCGCCATGGCCCTTCCAGGAAGTGTCTGTAGCATGTTAAAGTCGAGCTTGAGGACACGAAGCTTGGTGAGGCCCTCGAACGCGCGCACGGACACTGTCTCGATGCGGCAGCCCGACATCTCGAGGGCCGAGAGTTCGCTCAGCTCGGCGAAAGACATGTCGGCCAAGAGGGTGATGGGGTTTCCGCTCAAGATGAGGTTGCGGAGGTTCCGGGCGTGGCTCAGCGCAGCTGTGGGCACGGCCAACAGTTTGTTCTCGGCAAGGTCCAGCTCAATCAGGTTGGTCACTTTGAAGAGGGCGGTGTCGTCGATGTGGCTCAACTCGCAGCGGGACAGGTAGAGCTTCTGGATGTTCACCAGGCCTACAGTGGAGAAGGCTCGCTTGGGTAGTGCTTGGATTAAGTTGTGGGTCAGGTTGAGGACCTGCAATGGCGGGAGAGAGAGAGAATTAATAATGCGTAAGAATGGGCGAGTTCATAATTTGAAGCGTCTAATGTGCACTGACAAAAAAAGGGATTGGTAAACACAGCTAATTGACTTGGCCCCACCCGTTAGTGTTCTTAAAGGTTCCAATGCTAAAAGGAGAAACAACAACGGACAGACGAGCGCAGCACACTGAGTCCTCTTTTTTATATTTTTGTGTACTTACTAATTTACAACCGTGAACCAACAAGCCAAATACACCCTCTTTTTGGTAATTGCTCCGACCACAATATTTTCCATTTTGTGCTGAGCAACTACAAAAGCGTATCGTCTGCATTATACCAAATTGGTTATATACAACATCCGAAAGCGACAACAGCGACAACAACACATCGGCGATGACTCCCATGGAGTCATCGCCGATGTGACGCAGCACACGGCAGCGAAGAACGGTTTCCGCGCGCCGTGGCTGATTTCGGTCAATGCCCGGTGACGGTCTACGAACACTGGCGTGGCATCGAGATCACCTGCGGCCTACAAAAGACAGTAATAGCCACTGTTTCGCTGGGGCGTGGAACCGGTCAGTGGCGCTCAGGCAGAGGCGCTCAGGCAGTGGCGCTCAGGCAGTTTCTTCTGTTCACATAAGTTAGAGAATCGATGCCTTGCAGAACGTTTACTGAATTCCAAAACTGCTCCTACAAATTTAGAGGCAATAGTGACAGGGTGCAAAAAGAGCTGCGAAAACCAACAGAATAGGGAGTTTTAGTAGATCGTGTTTCCCCCTCCGCTAGCCCTCCGCTACGACAAAACCACCACTGCGCCTGCGCACCGATAGCCTTGGCTGTAGAGATCCGGGTAGCGGAGGGGCTTAGCAGAGGGGAAAACACGGTCTACTAAAACTCGCTAATGTCACGCAGTCCTTCGGGTCAGCGATTGATGACCTTTAGAATCGCAGTAGGCGGTGTAATCTTTAATTTTACGGTGACGTAAATGCTCGAGAATCTTGGTCGGTATCAGAATCACTTGTACAAGAACCGTGCGATACGAGGCTTAGTGTAACACCGACAACAACTGAGAGAGCTCATAGGATAGAAAAGTTCCGACCAGACAGGAATCGACCCCTGACTGCAAGTTTTGCGTAGTTTAAAGAGAAGCAAACCGTCCTAGGGAACGCCAAGAAATTGAAAGGGTCCGGTATCAGTATTCGCGGTGACAAGCTCGTAAGGGGCGCCTGTGTTTTGCGCACTATGGGTAGTGCACGTGGTACCCACGCGGAAGTACGTATTTTCATAGTGCATAAAAGCTTGGTGTTGCACGTGCTTGCACCTGCAGAGGAAGTATCTTCACTCTGGGTTGTGAAAAAATTTTACCAGGCAGTGATACCCAAACTTCTCACCGCGAATATCTGTGGATTTCTCTGCAGCGATAAGGAAGAAAAGACGGCATTTATGGGATTTTGTGAAGCGTGATGGGTCTTTATCTTTATGACGGAAAGCATACTTTTGATGACGACATCAACCAGGTAGTGCAGTTCAAGCGACCATGCCATGACTAGCCCACAACCATCACCTTTCTTGTCACTAATTGTCGTAGCATTAAAAATAAGATTGATGATCTTTCTAGCCTCATGGACACGGTTAAACCATCGGTTGTTACCGGCACAGGATCATGACAAGTTGAAGAGGCAACAAATCGGGAGGTGTTTCCTTATCACTTTACATGCTACAGGAAAGATAGATATACACATGGCGGAGGTGTGTTTATCCTCGCAGACCAGTGCATTTCTTCGAGTACAATTGGAGTTGATGAGGGCTCGTACGAAGCGGTATGGTGCCAGTTAAGACTTCGCGATGGTAAAGCCCAGTCGGTATGTTCTTTTTACCGGCCACCCGCAAGTTCTGTTGGTATATTATCAAAATTCCCAATGATGGCCAAAACAATTATATCTGATGGTATGGTTATAGGAGGCGATTTTAATTTTCCGTGTCTAAACTGGCACCAGCAAGAAGTATTTTCTGGAGAAACCCGTGGACTAACTCCAGAAATAACAAATTATATGAATTTGTCCAAGCTGACTCGAACTCTGTTAGAACCCACTAGAGGGGGTGAGGCTCTACAAGAAGTTAGGTGAGTACATCACATCCTCGTTGAGCTGGCATCGGCATCTAGATTTTACCGTAGCAAAAACATCCAAATCTTTGGGTTTTTTGCCCCGAAACAATCGTAACTTTCCACAGGTTAAGCGAGAACTATTATATAAAACAAACGTGGAACCTATATTAGAATATGCCTGCACAGTGTGGGACCCCCCCCCCCCCCCCCCCCCAAACCTAGTCTAGATAAAAGTAAATTAGAAAAAGTTCGAAACCTAGAGGCTAGGTATGTTTTATGGAAATCTTTAAAAAATAGAAAGTTTAGTGCAACGCGCTCAAGAGGAAAGTTAAAATGGAATAAACTGGAACGCCGCAGAGCAAGGCTTCGTTTGAAGTTTTCCGCTGTAACTTTCACTCGCAGACTGGCATCCCACGTGAAACCTACCTGTTTCACCAGACTACCTACACGCGCGTGTGGATCATAATCATACAGTGCCTGAATAATAGTGCAATAGTGTAGCCCCTAAGAGTTTTTTTTTTTCCAAGAAGACTGACAGCGGAACAAAGTGCCCTCTGCTGTTGTCTCAGTTTAATCAAACGATGCATTTTACTCTGCTTTAGAAACGGTACGCTCATTTAATTGTTATGATTGAGTAAAAGATAAATCCCAGGCAGAAGTTCACGCAGTAGATTACAATTATTCGGAGGGATAGGGTCTCTTGTAGCGTTTATTTGTTTTCAATATCGTGAAGTGTGATGGCGTGCGTTGAGTGACGCGAAATCAGAATGGTGCTTTGGATGTCGCGAGAGGTATCGTAGTACTTTTGATCTTGTGAGGTTTTAAGATGTAGTTGAAGATTTTTACCTGGTAATTTGTTTTCTTTTATGTGTGTATCCCCCCCCCCCCTCCCCGCTATAATACCACAAGGCGCTGCGGGTGCTGAATGAATAAATGAATTTTAATAAATCAATGGTTCATTAACAATTTCAGGAGGTATTTTTTGCAGTCTCGATTAAGCTAGAAATGTTTCTATAAGCAAAAACGAAATGAATGAAATACCTCAACACCTTAACTCCTATTTCTTTTAATAATCTCTTTAGACGCTATGATTATGTAATGTATGAATCAAAACACAAACATTGCATTATTTGTGGGGGCTCTAAATGCCAGATGTAACTAGTATCGTTTTAATCCTTGAAACTCATCAAACCACCAGTAGCAGAAACGTTACACCGACAACAATCGTCACGTGAAACAATCGTGTCATCGAGGCAAGATTCCGCGTGCAACCACCTGGTACTATAAACGCTACGTACTTAATAAAAACAAGACTTAACTAATCGTATGCCACTTAGTGAGGGGACAAGAACGCTACATCGTTCCTTTAAACTTCGCTGTAGAAATATCTGAGAGGGCGCCATTTGGAGACTATTGTCGATGTCCGTGTACAGGGCGGACTGGGCTTTGTCCTACAAAAGCTGCGAGTTTGATAAATAACTTAATTAACCGTATCGACTTAGTGAGGAGACAAAACTTCGCCGTAGACATTTCTGCCAGAGCATCACCTGTAGACGCTCGTCGATACCCGTGGGCAGGGAGGACAGTCCTTGGAGCATGCACTCCGCAGTCATTTTCCCGTTCCGCCAGATGCACTTGCACCGGTCGCTGCACTGGAAGCACAGCGAACCGGACAGCTGGCCAAGGGTGACCAGCAGGCACAGCAGGAGCCTGGTGCAACGCATGCCTGCAGCGCTGGCCACGAGGTGGCCCTGCCTCACGGCTGGCGAGACATGGCCTCGGCTAGCGACGAAGCACTTCCGGTTCCGGCCTGGCCGGTGTCGTCGTCATAACTGCCCGCTGTGTCGCCGCTGGTGACCTGCGGCAGAGAGTGAGAGTCCGGTTTAGCCCAGACACCAGCGGCGGGAGAGCAACATGGCTGACCTTCTCGCGAGATCCGGAAATACAACTGGATTAGACCGAGCTATACGGTAATAAACCGAGGGAGAGGAGGAGCCTGCGTTGACGTCGAAGCACCGAGCTCTGATTGGGAGGATAGAGGCGCAAAGGTGCTTGTCTCTCCCCACTGTCTCGCTCCAACCAAAGCAAACAAGCGCGTCGTTTGCTCCTCGCGCAGGGTCTGGCAATCGGCGTTCGTACGCCAGATCCCCCGCGAGGAGTAGACTGTTGGCCGTGGACGCAATACTATTGAATGTGGAGGGATAATAAGATATTCGAGACTCAGCATGCCCTGCGCTTGTTAAGCTCTCATTGCCCTACACTCGGACTCCCTGGAAAAAAAAGTCCGGCTCCTCGCAGAACGCCACCAATATCCCCGTACATGTTTTCAATTGAGATGCATTTAGGCGCCTCTTAGGTTAGCTTTATGTTATCTTATCATTACGCACATGTTTCAAACACCGAAAAGTATATTTTCTTCCTTCAACAAGGAAATCTTATCATGTCGTTTAACACCTCAGACAGCGCAGAAGAGAATGAAGAACTTTTAGTCGAAGAAACAGACACAGAAGGGAACGTCTCAAACTCAGCTAGCTCCTTTGCTTCTCAAGCAATCTATATATGCTCACACAGCCACCCACCCACCATCTACACCGAGATCACCTTTGGTAAAAGCATTTTCACATACAGTCTCAGCCTTCCTTTTCTTCACCACAGCCTGAGGTGTTAAGCTACATGATTAGATATCACCAGCTCGCCTGCGCGCTCACAGTCTTTAAACCAAACCTCGTAAGAACTACTTGGCGCATCGCATTAGTAATGCGAGAAACTTCCTTTTTTTTTTTCTTAATCTGACAACGAGTATAGACGACACCCATAGTACGCAGATTCGACATCAGACTCAATCGGCGTCTGAGAAGACATCACCAAGGACTGGCCGTACATGACATGAGTTAGATCAGACTTTATGCGAAGGTGACTGAATCTGTACGGAACAACTTTACCTATTAGTCGCTGGTGACAAACCAAACAGTGGTTATCCTTCCAAATGAAAAGTGTACACATTCACGGCTAGGCAAAAAATAAAGGCCTTAGTGCTTTTTTATTTATTGTGTTCCTTTAATGGTATCCTCTCCCAGTGATCATGTCAAATGCTGAACCTTTGTTGCAAGAACCTGTGCACACAGATCAGCGAAGAACATTAAATATGCTTATCAAAAGGGACAGCAAACAGTTTTTATTAAGTAATTGGTGCTAAGAATAAGCCCTTCAAACGTTTGAATAGCCTGACACAGGTACCAGCATTTGTTTAAACGCTACACTTACTTAACAAAACAGAATCACTTGATGATCCGAAATATGTTGCTTTCCACTCCAATTATATTTTTTCTTCCACCAACCAAAGGTCACGTGCATGCAATTCGTTAAGCGCTTTTCTGGAGGAACCATTTAGTGAACCAGCTAAAGCAGGAGTATCTCTCGATGCGGGATAATCCGCTCACCCGGGCACGCTGGAGTGTTGCAGTACACAAGACGGATCGTCTTGTGTACTGCGAAACCCCAAGAATCACAAAATTGGAAAAACGGAACGATAAAAACTACTCCAACCAACTACCATGTGCGAAACTATCGTCCCAGAAAACTTAAGAAACGTAGAATATGACTTATGATTCCGCTTCCTGCTTTGTGATGCGTTGTTCGGCGTTCTTGTTGACTCATGCCCATTGGCTGCGGAGATATTACAGCAAGTTTTAAAGTAGCGTACGCAAAAGCTTTGCGTACGCTCTGAAATAGCGCCTAAGTCACTGGGCATGCGTGGAGCGCAAACTGCGCCCCGGATTGGTGAATGGCGACGACACGCACTCGCAAAGCAACGCTAAGGATAACGCACAACGCTTGCGTTTACTCGTATACGCAATACTAAAACCCTTCTAATCAGGTGATCGGGGCTCGGCTCGCTTTGCGTTCTTCAAGATCCCAGTGACTGTAGACGCGTCCTGGAAGAATCCTTAATGGCAATATAGCGAGGGCAAGAATGACCATCCGTTTCTCAGCCACTACTTGCTATTTCGTTAAGGGCGATGCAGATCTGTGTGCGAACCGCGCGCCTGTTCTCGCAACTCCATCCCATCAACTTCAATCATCCCGCCTCCGGGTGTTAGGCAGCGTGACGACGCGACAGCAGTGAGCTTGGCGCCTTGCTTAGGACTTTGGACGTCGTTCGAGAATACATACGAATGCCGAACGTCTGGTGTACTGTCGCGTACAATATCAACTGAATCAGTCCTTCACACTCCTTTGGCTCGCCTGCCAGTTTTCTGGAGAGATGAGGGGGGGGGGGGGGGGGGATCAATATTGTTTTGCGAGGATGAAGTCCCATACCTCTCGCTATTCGACAAAGTTAAAGATAATAGAGCTCTTCGAGTCTTCAGACGCAATTAATTAAAGACCGCATCGGGTGTTTCAGCATTGTCCGTGGGGTTACATGTTCCCCCTCTTAACTGAGACGCAGGTAAGGGCGAACAGCGGAACCTGTTTGAACACACGCACAAGCAGGTTCCGCTGCTCGTGCTTCTGATATAGTCACGGTACTCGAAGAGAAAATAAGCTCCCAGCGAGCGTGAGAACAAATTCCCGGTAGAGTTGCGCACAAACATGCCAGCTGTTGGCCCGAACCGATGGACCCTATTCGCAAGTTAATCGGTTTACTTTCCAACTCCTCTCCCCGAAACCCAATTCCCAGCTCTCCCCTAGAGACTCCGTCATGCACCGCCATCTGTGCGTTCAACCGTGCGCTGTGCAATCACGCGTCTTCCGATGTTGGTGCCATAACGCGTCCGCGAGAGATGACCGACGGAAGAGAAAGAGAGCGAGAAAGAGCGGAAGCCGATCGAGGGCGTCAGCGTTTTCCGATCAGCGTCCAAGTTCCCGTCGACGACGTGGGTCCACGTTCCGGGGAGTGCCCATGATCGAAATGCCGTCACGGCCAGGAGCAGCCGCTCTACACCGTTCATCCTCAAGCTAACAGCATGGTGGAAGCTACGAGCCCGCCGGAACAATCAACCGCCTCCCTTGCATCGCCTGGGGTACGGGCAGGGGCGTGATCACGTGACGAAAGAACGACGTACGATTGGTCCAAGGAGGACGTAGCTTCCAGCGAACTCTCAGCTTAGGGGTGAGCTGAGCATAGCGGGCTTCGAGCTTGTCGCAGAACAACGCGGAGAACCTTGTCAGGAAGGTTGTAGCGGCAAGGAATGCACGTTGCGAATGCCAGCGACACGTCACAGTTGGTTCGATGACTGTTGTTATTTTTGATGGACTTCTGTCGAAACATCGCTCATGACCACTAGGCCAGCGATTAGCCCACTTTGCTCGAGGACTTTGAAGAACGCGCAATTGGCGGCCTTGCCGAGTTTAAACGCGATAAAGAGTATCGCGAACATTAGGAGCGTAAACCATGCTTAAGACACTCTGATTCGTACAGAGCTTCGCCTCACCTTAAAGGCACTGGGTAAGTCCTATACACCCGATGCATATTGAGCAACATATCTCTCCGTAATTAATAGGAGTATTCCTGTTAAATCTATTTATCTCTCTCTCTCTCTCTCTCTCTCTCTCTATATATATATATATATATATATATATATATATATATATATATATATATATATATAATCATTTTGTTCCAAATGTTGCGCTATTTCTACTAGACTAGAATTAATCAAATCTGTTAGGTGAATATTTTTAATTCTAGTGAAGTACTTTTCAGCACCTATGCAGGTGGCAGGAATAAAAAAAACTCAACGCTCTATGTTGGGGGGTTAAGGAAATAATGGCATCTATGTAATGAAAGACACCGTTTTGAGATAATTGAGTTTAAAGAAAAAAGACGGGTGAATAATTAACAAATTATCGCTGGCACCAACACCCTCGGAGTCATTTCTTCCATAGCCGCGTGCTTCGTAGTCAATGTCAGAGTCGTGCCTTTGCTTTTCGGCCTGTCACTTGGCTTGCCGGGCCTCTTTTGTGACCTCTTGTGTGGTTCAGACGGCAGAGTACATTCGAGTGACGTAAACTTTCCTCGGCCACTTGATGGTGTTCCACCCAGGGTTGAATCCACACGACTTCAAAATATTGGCTCGTACGATGCTACCACCATTAAATAAAAGAACTGAATCTAATATTGACCTTTCGTCGTTCAAAAACAAAGGCGCTTGAAAGTGCAAAACCTTTTGAAATTGTCTCGATTAAAAAAAAAAGAAATAAAAAAAGCCTTTACAGTAGTTGCAAGATCATTTTTAGGATGTAGCTCGTTCCGAAAATGTTTTTAAATATGGTGGAATTTTTGTTTAATTTATTGATAAACAAAAAGGACAGTGTCCCGAAAGGGGGCGTGTCCACCCGCTACTTGCTTTCGGTAAAAGTGTTTTTCAGCCCGAACCATAATCGTCTAATACCCCATTCACACGACTGTAAAGGTAGCTTTAGCTAAGGGACCTTAATTCTCTGCGGCCGATCCATTACTTCGGCCGTTTTTTGAGCTACCTAAACAAACTGCATTTTCTGACTACCCGGACTTCAATCGTCATGGTACGCTAGCTATTTTCTCGAAATTCAAAATAGCAATTGAGAAAACCGTAAATAAAGATGATGCCGAAACCAGCATTCAAATTTTCGCGCGCTCTTCAGTGGTGTGACGTCACACATGGTACAGACTTGCAGGTCGTGCATGTAGTCTTAAACAGAGTATGTCGAGTGTTTTTTGCGTGCTTCTCAGCAAATCAGTTACCAAAACATTCTTTTCCCACAGTCAAACGTCTTGTAATCAGTTGGGAAGATGGCTTACTGCCCACTTTGTACCATTTCTGTCGCCACACTTCAATGTTGCCAGTAGGGGCTCCCAGTTTGAGAAACGCGATG